TTTTAGAAAGGTTTAAGCTCTTTTCTTGAAGGTTCCTAAGTCGTATCGGTTCGGAAAATTCGCTGGTGGTAATTGATTCCACAAAGAAGTTGTGTGAGGGAGAAAACTTCTTCTAAATCGCACAGTGGTGGACCGCCAATCATCCAGATGGTATGGATGGTAACGCGAGTTTTGTCGCGATGTACGATAGTGAAATTGAGCGGCTGGAATTAGTCCGAACAATTCCTCAGAGCACTCCCCGTGATAGATGCGATAAAATACGCAAAGAGATGCAACATCTCTACGCAGTGCCAGTGTATCAGTGTATCTCTAAGAACGACTTTCAGTGCCGTTTTCACACTTCTAATCAGACGCTCCCAAGCTTCCGGATCCGGAATAGGTAAGTCATAAATACTATTACAATTCGCCTTTGGTGATTTTATTACCACTTATATTTTTTCTAACAGCTCATTGTTGCTCTTTTCGTTATTTTCAGGCTCTCGGGGCCAATACTTTTCTTCCGTGTACAGAAAAGATGGGCCCGCTAACCAAGAGGAGTCCTTGTTGAAGTCGTAATCATTATTTTTTGTAGCTAAATCTGTTATATTTAAATTTGTCGGCACGTAATGCCACTCATCAATTTTACTTAACTCAAATTTCACCTAACCTATTTGCAATAATAACTTTGTAATTTCTATGCTCGTTACGAATCCAATAAATAACAATCATTGAATCAGTCCAATAAAAAACACGCGACGGTTTAATTCTATGTTCCTTTTTTATAGTCTCTGCCAAGCGACATGCTAATAACGGGCCTTGAAGTTCGAGTTTAGGCATAGTTAACGGTTTTAACGGCGCTACGCGACTTTTACTCGCAATGAATGACACCTGCATGCCGATGCTGTCTTGTTTACGCCAATAAGCAACACATGCGTATGCGCATGGAGATGCATCACAAAAAATATGCAATTGCAACGACGTCTCATTGTCGTTTACGGTGCGGCCGCTCTTCTCATTCACACTGACAGAATCGTCGCTATAAAAATACCAGCGCGGGATTCGAACGTAACTCATTTCTTGTAACTGCGAAACCCAATCTTTAAATAAAACAAATAGACTATCTGTTATTTCCTGATCCCAATTTATACCTACATTCCATATTTCGCGCATTAAAATTTTAGATTTTATCGTAAAAGGTGCTAAAAAAACATGAATATCATATACAGACATTATAATGCGAAGAACTTCACGCTTAGTCGGTTTTCGTGATAGTTGTAAAATATAACTCGGTATACGCTTTAACGAAAGATCGAACCCGAACATATCACTCGCGGGAAACCACAAAAGCCCAAGCGTTCGTTCCGGCTGAGATTCGACATTAAACCGTATCGCCATGTTATTTAAAGTCTCTTTTGGCATATCATTAAGAACATCTGAATACGCATCACAAAACCACCTTGCATCTTTTATCATTTTTGTAGCAGTAGCGACGTCTGGTAAACTATCGATAAAATCGTTTATATATTGATTTTTCATAATTGCATTAACTGCATCCGGCATTTTATTCTGAAAGCGCAATGGGTTTTTATTTCGATTTATATATTGCGCTATAAATGGGGAGCAGTTAGCACCAAAAATTAATGACGTCATAACATATTTCTTAACAGGATGTTGTATAGGTGATTTTGAACCTTTGTTACTACTTCCGAAGCCAAATTGTTTTCATTTTCATTACTTAAATAGATTCCACAAAATACGCAAAGAATTAACATCTTCTTTTCGTACATTAATCCTTAAAAACATATCATTTATGTCCCCTATGATACCAATGCGGTTTTCTCTAAATCTTAACATTATTTCTAATAACGATTGTAACAAATCAGGGCCTTGTAAAAGAAAATCATTTAAAGAATAACCGTTCGACTTTGCTGCCGCGTCATAAACTAAACGCAGTTTTTTCTTATTTGGATTATCTACACCAAAGTGCGGCAAATACCATATTATACGTTTATTAGAGTTTTCATCAGTCTCTTTAAGTTCTCTAGCATAACCATTAGAAAATAAGTATCTCATTCTTTCACAATAACGAGTTGCATAGTCTTTGTTGAGCAAAAATTTTCTTTGGACTTTAAACGATTAAAAGCGTTAGGGTAAGAGTCGGGTAAATGTAATTCCTCGTATTTCCACGGTAAGCCGACAGTCCATTGACCATTTACTAATTCTGCAGTGCCATCTAAAATTTGTAACGCGCGTATTTCATCTGGGTTACGGCGCGGCTTCGAACCTACACCAATTGATTCTAACGCGAAGGATCTACGAACCGCATCGTGCAACTGCGCGCAAGTGCATTCACCGTTATCATTATCGAGAGAGAGATCGCTAGCAATCGATTCTACCGTGTGTAAGTGAAAGATACACTGCGACGGTCCCGCCTTTTCGATGCAACTATTAATTAAAGAGACAAAGCGATCAGTGCAATTAACAACACTTAGCATATATCCGTGCACACACCATTCAAGCGCAGTTTGAGTTATGTACGGCTCACGCTGCTTACCACAAACACAACGAATGGGAGTAATTAAATGATGATTGTCCTGACCAATTAATAATTTAGGTCTAGCGTTACAATTACATAACATAAGATCTTCACTTAACAATCCATAATTATTAAAGTCCATATTCGGCACTTTTTGTGTTGGTAAATTTAATTCTTTAATTTTACGAGCACGGAAAGTAAACATTTCGTTATACGAATTAGTAACACTAACACTCACTACTTGAGATTCACACATAAGCTCGCCCGAGTCCCACGCGCTGCGCGCGCGCAACGTCACGTTTTCACCATATAATCCGAGCTCATCTGCGATATCAGAGGATATCACCGTCACGGTAGCTCCATCATCCAGTAGTGCATGCGTATGCAAACTGCCATTCGGTCCGTAAAGAGTGAGCGGCACCAAAAGCACCTTGTGACAGTGGGATGCCACTGTATGAGTCACTGTTTCATTGATGCTGGGATGCTCATCCTTTACCTCGCTCCACAGTCTTCAAGCTTTCTTCCAATGGTTTAATCCAGTGCAGTAAACGATGATGCGGTTGATTGCAGCCGTCAATGTCGCAATTACTGCCATTACAAGACATACGATTCGTATGGCGGGGGCCAAGACATTTGAAGCAAAGTTTATTTACGCGTACAAATCGCCAGCGATCTTTGCAATCTGAACCGTGAACAATCTGCGACACCATGAGCCCCTTTTCGGCAAAATTTACACTTTTCAGCGTTTTGTAATTGATTACTATTTGTGTACAGTAACAGCGAGCGTGAACGGTGTTTACGTTCATCGGGCTTCTTTAAATTGTATTGAGCGTGTATATGACTTACTCCTGATGCAGCTGTTTTAGTGGCTTCCTCATATAAAAATTCACTAAGCAATTCTAGCTTCGGTAAATTACACTCTCGCCGTTCATAGATGTAGTCGGTCCATTTTGCGACAAGTAAAGTTGGAAGCTTGGATACGACAATTGATACTCATTCCGGGTTGTGAAGATAATCACTTTGTTGCATTGCTTTGGCAGCAGCCACATAGTTCTTTATTTTTATTGCAAAATTAATGATATCATTATGATAAGTTAACGGCAACGGACATAACTTTTTTAGCTGTGAAACTATTTTACTTATGATTGTTTCTGGTTTGCCAAATCGAAGTTCTAAGGTGTCAATTATTAAATCGGGTGTAGTTCCACCAATCAAGAGTGAAGTCACCGCTTCTTTAGCATCGCCACGAAGACACGTAGCCGCCATAAATTCTCTGTGTCACTATATTTGCATAATTGGGTACATTCTTGGTACGCCTGTTTAAACTGCAACCACTCCATTGGATCTCCAAAAAATAAAGGCAGGTCTTTAGACGTTGCTAATCTTGTTAAGAGCTCCTGGTTCTGTATTTTTATATGATGAGGCAGCCAATGCATCATTCAAGGCATGTGCCACCTTTTCTAGGCCGATTGTTTCACGAGAGTAATCTTCTCGGTTCTCCTTATGCTGGTTTCCTGGAGTATTCAGCCAATTTCCAACTTTGCTGGTCGAAGATTTTATAGCCGACTTGTGGGAAGAGCGTGATCGAGACTCCAATTCTGCCATCTCAGCTGCAAGCTGTTTGTTTAGTAGCTTCGACTAAATATTTGCCTTAATCTTGGCAGCTTCTGCCTGAGCACTTTTAACCTTGGCTTTTGCTTCAGCTGCTTGTACTTCAGCTTCTGCTGCTTGTATTTCCACGAGAGCCATAGCTTTAGCGGTTTCGTATTCCAATTGCCGTTTGCGTGCCGTACTTGACGACGTGCCTGCGGTCTTTGATGACTTTTTACTCTTACTACAGACACTTTTCGCATTTCCAGGTTTTTCCAGCACTTCATCCTTTAAGCTAAACGATGGTAACAGATCTTGGTTGTTCTTGCACTCCGATCTTGCAGCGGTGCCACGTGGTCGTCGCTTTTTTTGTGGCGTAGCCGGCGCGTGGAACGTAACTGGTACTTATTATTATTATATTTTTTGCAGACGACGTAAGGATTCGGCCGAAGGACCACTATGTTGATGATGTAGGCCGCTGGTGTCGTCTGAGAGAAAAATATACTAAAAAAAAATTTGGTGAGCGCGTGTACATCCGCGGGGAGGGAGACATAGGTGTCATCTCGTATGATGTTCTAGTGCAACTAACTCGAAGCGCGGGATCATGTACTCAGCGGTGTAACACCGTTGTTGCAAATCGTCGCTTAAGTTCTAACACCGCGGAGGTCAAAAATGGCAACTTTTCAGGAGAGCAAAAAAACCGTGCCCTATTATATATCGCGATATTAATATATACATTTTTATGTGAAAATTTATAAAAATAGATTAATTTCAAAATTTTTGTTAAGGTTGTTGTAAAAAAATATTATTTGTATTATTTTTCTGACATACGTGGTGTTACCACATTAAAATAAAGGTTATGGGGAGACTTACGCTGAGTTATAAAGACACTGTAAATATTTATAAATCATTTATTTCAATTAAAATTAAAATAACAGGTAGACTTATACCTCTTAAACAATAACAAAACATAATACATTTTCTTCTAGAACGTTTTAACCACTCTTCTTAACTTTTCATTACAAATGATTAACAATTTCACTTTATTGCACTGTTTGTTAACCTGGATAATTATTTGGTATAAAATATCTTACATCAAAATGGAATACTGACAAGTATTACTTAAACATATTATATCAAAATAACAAAAATACAATATCAGTCATTATAAAATTTTAATGAAGTAAAGTATCATAAAAACTATGACAGTCAAGCGGAATAACTGACTTTAGTTCTTGCAGATGTTTCCATTTGGATTCATTTATTTTTTGATGATTATTATAAAGCTTAGTCCTTGGGCCCGGTCTTGCCCTATTATTTTTGGCTCTTCTGGGCAAATTTTTATAGTCATCCTGAAAGCTTTACTTGTAGTTAATAATGCCGTTAGGGTTATATTCCAAAGCTCTCAAATCTGTGACTGTAGGATCGTTGGCAACTCGGCAAGGCGGGATGGACTCGTACAAAAAATCAGCTTTGTTTGAGTAGTCAAAAAAAAGTCGTATGATAAAAAGTTTACCATGAAAGGTTGTTTCGGCCGAGCTTCCTTGGAAATAGTGGCATACTCGGAAGGTAAGTATATCTCCTTATTTTTAAGCCTGCATTCAATTGCACTGTGGCTGGAGTCACACTCCATTTGGGTATGACATTTTTCAAGGAATTTCTGTGTTATTACGACATTATATTCCATGGCTAAATCTAAAAGAGCATTCGCTAAAACAACGTTTCTGTTTTGGGATGTACATCCATCAGAAAATAGGATAATTGGCAAAGGTTTTTCTGAAAGAGTTTTTCTCAGGCAATCTATGACGCATAATGCAAGAACAGAAGCCACCAATCCTGCATTATGCTCGTCAAACCAGTAACAATGGACATCTTTTGTGGCTAGGTTAAACATTATGAAATTGTGCACACAGAGCTTAGTTTTATAGTACAATGCACTAGCCTGCAACATCGGACACAACTTTACTGATTGGAGGTCATGCGTAAATACGTGTGCTTCTCCTGCTAATGCTCGGTCCTTGTCTTTCTTTTTCTCCTCTCTAGCTGCTTCTTTTCGATTAATGTGATTGCGATAGATGTCTTAGCCAAGATTACCTGCTTTGAACGCACAGCATGTGTCACATTGATCCTTTTTTGGCTGGAACAAGCTTAAATTATTTTCTTTAAAAATTTTATCAAAAGACCATCGGCTGACGGGTTCTTTATTTTCTGATTTACACTTCTCGCAATAAATTTTGAAAAGATGATTCTTGTTTTCGATCATAGGCTCTAAATATTCTCTAGAAGAGGTAGGTAGCTCTACAATAGTGAGAAGGCATCTTTGGCAAACTGTTTAGGAAATCTTTAAGAAAAGCTACCTCATCTTTCTTTGAGGGTCCTTCTAAAACCTTACGAGTCAGTTCGGGTTTCTTTGCCATTCCAAGCTCAGACACCGATAGCCAATATCTGACTGTCCATTCTTTGATAACGAACATATTCAGAAAAGTATGCTTGCAAACTTGAGCACGTCCATTTAAAGTTTCTAAAAATACTCTTTGGTCTCACCACGCCTAGATGATGATGATTTACATTTGACCTGCTTTTTTGGGCATACCTGAACATTTGATACAACGTATTGTTTACGCTGTTCCCGCGTCATATTATTCCAGTAATTGGAGAAAAGGGTATTTTGTTCCTCTTCTGGTATTGTATTACGAGCACTAAGCTGTGATTTTTTACAAAACTCGGTAGTACATCGAGGGCCAATTATTCGGGCTGGCCTAATAGTGTCATGTAATACCCTAAACTTTGAACCATTGCTATCTCGCCTATACCCTAAATATTCTTTTACCTCCATTCTAAGTTTCTTGTTATTATTTTTAGTCCAGTTTTTGTTCACTGAACATCCCTTTGAACATCTTTTTCGGCCAGAATTAAGATCACCATATTGTTCGACCTCGTCACTCAAAGGCAAGGGACTCGCCATCGGTTCTGCAAGGTCTGTTGATTCTTCCATTAATGTAGGGTCTGTTACACTTGTTTGCGCAAAATTTATATCAATAGGTTCTTCATTCGACGGTAACATAGGCGAGTGAGCTGTAGTTTGTACCATCATTACATTGTTATGGAATTCGAAAAGTTCATGTACACTCACCTCGCTGCTTACGTAGGTATTGTCGGGTATTATAACAACGGGCAAGTTGTTAATATCAATGTTTTCTAAGTTATCCCTGGTGGTATTATTGTTATTTTTCTTTTTCGGCGGTATTCTTATTCCTAGTTCTTTACATAGGTCAAGAACCCCCTCATCATCACTGGATTCGTAGTCCATGGTGTCTTGATATCTGCAAATTAAAAAAATTGTATTTAAAGACCGATATAAAAACACCGCGTCAGTCATTTTTTGATCAAGCATAACACCGCGTAAATAAAATAACATTTTCATCCTATTTTATACAATAATATACACGATATTTAGACTTAATTTTACATAAAAATCAGAGATCAAGTTTGTATCTCTTAGATAAACACATGGTAATATTTATATATAAAATATAATTAATTAATATTTTAGAATTTTACATAATACTTAATTTTATCTACAATATTAAAAACTACGATAATAAAAAAAAACTAAAACTAGAAACTTAATTATCATATAGTCCTACTCCCCGCGGTATCGTGCCAAGAACGCTGGCTGCGTTTCCCCGCTGAATGGCTATACTTAGCCTTTGAGCGAGGAAAGAACCAGCCCTCTTATCACCAGCAGCATCGACCAGCCGCGGATGGAGTTCCTTTAGGAACTTCACCGCACGTGGACCCCACGGACCGATAGTCTCTACAGCAAATGGCACAAATATGTAGTCATCTCTCAGAGACTCATATTTGCGCCACTTACTCAGTTCAGCTGCCTCTGATGCCGCCCCGGCTTTAAACGAGGTGCCCCTGAGATGAGAGGCCGCCAGAGTGTCTACGCAAGTAGCATCCCACACTAGGGCTTTACCTCTCTCCCAAGGGACCAATGTCATACCGTCGGGTCTCTTGCCATCGTCTCTAAATATTCCACAAGGCTCTAAAACCGAGGGAACATTTATAGAGGCAAGAGCCCTTCGGATGACATCGTTCAAAGAACTGTGTCGTGAAAACCTACCAGCGCTTTTCTTACATGAAAGTCCGTGGAGCCCAAACTTGTCGACGCTGTTACCACAGGGGCATTGATGGGGTTGACAAATCGCTGCTCCTAGTCGGATTCCTACGGCAATACGCAAGCTTTCCCTATCAAGTAATGTGCCGAGATTACTTGATGGTAAAGCGTGTAACCAGTGACTAGATTCCTTAGTCGAAACAGCTAGAAGGCGTGCCTTATCTTGGTCACTATGGAAATTATGAAACAAATCCTTCTGCACGCCCTGTACCAACGGAATATCCCACTGTTTTTGTTGGTTAACTTCCAGTGGAATATTTTCACCAGGACAGAGCGTTTGCCATGTCTGCCCTGCCTCCGTAGCAAAGCATAGGTCTACTTTATTATTTAAAATTATGTTACATAAGTCACTGACACTATGCACGGAAGCAAGGAAAGCAGGCAATGCAACGCTAGAAAGATTTCTCACACCAATGCCACCAAATTGTATAGGTAAAGTAGCTTGAGTCCAGGCTGTTGTATTTAAAGTTAAATTTAGAATTTTTTCTATAGCAATTTTAAGATTTTTATCAATATCTTGTAAAATATCCGAACATTTCCAGACTGGACTCGAGCGGAGTAAGTATGTAAATCTAGGTACAAGAAGACAATATTTTAAAATAGTAAGAGCTATGTGGGGGTTTAATTTATACAATTTATCAACGTGGTTTAAAAACTGATCAAATTTTGTTTTTAAAACAGGTTTAATACTATCGAAAAACAACGGGGCACCTAGCAGGTATAGTGATTCCGTATTGACAGTTTTTATTCCTGGACAAATATGATTAAAATTTTGAATTAAAGTGTCTCTATGAGAAGTAGATAAATTATTGGAAAAAAATATTTCACATTTATTGCTATTTGGTTCAAGGCCAATATTTTTAAAATTTCGAAAAATATGAGTAAGATCGCTGAGGACGTCATCTGCTCTACCTCCCAGTGTACCGTCGTCTAGGTACCAGACATTCAGCTTGGATTTCAAATTTGAAATAATGGGTTGAATTCCCAAACTGAAAAGTGCTGGACCCAGAGGGTCACCCTGCTGAACACCAACAGCAGAATCGATAACATGGTTTTCGTAAAACAAGTTAGTATTTTGACTATAACATTGCCAAACGTAATGATAAATTTCGGGGGTATTGTTAGCCACTTCTTTCAGCAAGGTTACCCTATCGATAGAGTTAAAAGCATTCCTTAGGTCAACCTTCACAAGAACATCTGCATCAGAGTTTGTTAAAAATGTACGCACTGAATGTACCGCCGCCTCACAGCCACCTCTAGTGCCAAAGCCTAGTTGAGTAGGCTGAAATTTGGTCTTAAGGTTAGAGATTATGTACCTGCAAGCTAATTTTGAAGTTAAGCGTCGAAATGTGGAACCAACGGCAATAGGACGGATACCGTTATCCTTTTTTTTGAAGGCACATAATCTTGCCCCATATAAGAATGGAATGAAATTTGGATTAACATTACCAGAAAGCATAAAGTTACATAATTTTGTAATGTCTTTAAGAAGTACTCCGCCGGCGTCACCGGCAGAAGCGCTTACAAGATCTTTAAGATGTTGAGGCGTAATTCCGTCAATGCCGCCAGCAGAGCCATTCGAAAATGACATAATTGCTTCTAAAGTGTCTTTTTCCGAAATTTGTAAAGGTTGCATAGATGTCTTGGGAGGCAGCGGTAAACCCTGAGACGGTTTGACCGAAGGATGCTTTTGACGAAGGCTTTCAAGAGTTTCGACATTACGAGGAGCCAGGATGTCGTCTGAGAATAAAATACGGGATGCATTTTTTAAGTCGCCATCCATTACTTTCGACTCAACTACTTTTTTTTAAATCAAATTTAGGACGTGGTCGAGATAAATGAGTATTAATTGAGTAATCTAAATTTTGAAAAGATGTCTCTTTTAGTTGAGACGTAATTGATTTATTTATTGTTTTATCAAAATGAAAATGAGAATACGCGAAAGTAAATAATTTTTGCCAACTATTTTCACTATTAGCGAAACAATTTTGAATAGTGCATGACAATGCTTTAGCAAGCTGCATCCTCGCACCTCTAGGAATTCTTTTAACCACTGGTACATTACGATAATAATTGTAAATTTGCTCCGAAAAAAGGGAAACATTTGTGTCATTAGAGGAATTGCTAATAAAGTTATGAATTTCTACGGCAGGCTGTGAAGCCGAAATACTTTTACTATGGCATCGTTTAATATGTATATTTAATCCCCTTTTACCTTTAAACAGCCTACCGTCAGCACAATTTTGACACTGTAGGAAATCCGGCTGTGAATGTAGAGGAGCAGAGATATAATATTTATATGAATTATATTTACCTTGATTTGTGATTTGTACTTCTTCAGAGCACAAGTCGCCACCTGTTATAGTACAAAAGTTACTGATTTACGCGCTGTTTGCAAGACGATTCCCGCACCACGCAGATACGCTGTGTATTTGTTTTCAAAATAAAACGCTCTCATTGGTTGAAATCCCTGATTCTGATTGGTCTAGAGATGCGTCTTTCGATCGTCTATCGAATGACATGGAAAAGTCAAATTGGCATTTTTTGGACTTCCGCGGTGTTAGAACTTATGCGACGAAATATACCTTCACCCTACTAATAAAAATCGCGGTAAGTGCCACCGTCCCCGTATGCACACGTACTTATTTATTATAGAAAAACAACAAGTACATAAGGTAACCTAAATGCTTTTTGAGTATATATTTTACACATAATTTTTTATTGATTAATATTATTTACATTTCAGTTGTTCGAGAAGCAACGTGAGCGTCGTCAACAGTTACTGTTTATAAACAGTTTGTCGTATTTTAAAGTCACCTAAGAAATAATGATTTCTTATATTTACGCGAACACTACACATTTTTAAATAAAACTAATTTTACGAATTTTATCGCGTATATTAACTTATTTTTAACTTATTTTTTATATTCCCGACGTTTCGGGTGCTTACCCGCACCCGTGGTCACGGGGGATCCCCCGTGACCACGGGTGCTGGAAGTTAAAAATAAGTTAATATACGGAATAAGTTAAAAATAAGTTAATATACGCGATAAAATCCGTAAAATTAGTTTCACCTAAGAAACATATTTTTAGCGGCTTTTTTTAATGTACATTTTATTTGTATATACTTTGCAAAATTCGTAGATCAAAAAGCATTAAAAATATTTCGATTATGTGTGAATCTACTTTTTTTTAATATATATTTATTGACTAATGCATTAATGCCGCATCCAGTCCGAACTACATTATACATCCATGTAAGTTCATTGTTGGGTACTTGTAAGATTATTTTAATGCGTTTTATGATAAAAAATTGTATTGCAGCCTATGATTTTTCTCATAAAATATTTTAAATAATAGATTTAAGGTTAAAATAAAACAAAATCGAACTATTAAAAAACTTTGTTTCATCGAGAAATATGACAATTTTGACTTTACTCAACATTTACTTACACTAATTACTTTGGGACTTTATTAAATTTATGTATCCATTTATTATTTCATAGAGAATTTACAAATGTATACATGTTATAGTATTTGATATACCAGAATCAAGAAATTTGCGTTAAGGCGGACTACCCCCAATCAGCAGTCCATTTTATTAAACAGCTCCGCAGTCAATGGAGTAGGGGGGTTTTAGTCCTCTCAGTTGAGAGGTTATACAAATTTGAACATCTCTGATTACTTGTTCATTTATTTTATTTACTTTCAGTAAGATTCGATACATCCATCGATATACAGACTGTAACAGCCCATTCCATACTCTTAAGGTTTGAATTTTTGAAAATTCTTTTTTAGTTCCGACGTAATAAAAGGAACCTATTGTCTCAATTTTACACTTCTACGTATAGCACTTTGAGCTGTATGGTTTTATTACTAAAATTTTCATACAAACTACCCTTGTTTTAATATCATAAGAATAGATAGACCGAAAAAATTAAAAATAGATATTTTATTATTTTAATTCCAGAGTATTTACACCAGTTTTGTAGTTTAAAAAATCATTAATAATTTTTTCTCTGATTGTCAGTGGCGAAGCTAGGGCTCCAAACTAGGGCAAGCCCAAGATATGGTTTGGTTGTTTTTAGCAGTTTTATAAAAATACACCAATATTGATCTGTCTCCACTTTTCAGTTTCATATTCAGTGCTGTCGAGGATATGTTTAACAAAGCACACAGAAGGCATACTACTGCTAAATAGATTGTATGACATATCAGCAATTGCATAACTTTGGTGGCTTTGAAAAAAGCCGTTTAGGTTTGCTTGAGCGAAATTATTGGTACTTAGTTGTACCAATAACTGTTTTTCAATTGTGATAATTGATAAGTCTGAAAGACGCTCTTGACCTTGTGTATTTCTCAAATAAGTATGGACGCGCTTCAGAGATGATAAATACGCAGAGGAACTTGGGGCTGGAATAGTTATGACAAGGTAAGATAACTTTAAAAGCTAGGGAAAAGCGTTGTCAAGACTATTTTTGTTTATAAAGTTAATGAGTTCGAAAACATTGCGCTCTTATAATTCAGGGGAGGAATACAATGAAATCAATTGGTTTTTCAATGTTTGTTTATCGAAATGGTTTGCATTAAAGGGTTTTTCTCCCTAGAGGAGGAAATGCCTTTACACATCCTAATTGCAGACCCTTAATGCGCAAACGTAGCTCTCATCTGAGAAATTATGTACTTTGCCCAGAAGAAGTGAAATTGCTCACAGCTAAGCAACTCTTTCAATTCATTGGGGATGTAGGGCTTAGCAGTGAACTATAAACATAGCAGTGATCACAAAAGATCTTTTAGGTTGCAGTGATATTGGTCTCTTTAGACCTGCATAGCTGCTTGTACATAATAAAAATAATAATAATTGGTTGAATCTGTACTAAAACTGAATTTAAGCATTCACCAACTCCACAGTCTTGTCTGCTCTACACCTAAAGTGTTTTTGTACAGACGCAGATGTGGAGGGAAAGTAACTCCTGTCCGCCATAGCAAATTGCAGGCACCTGTGTAAGCCGTAGCGGCTGAAACTGGTCGCCGAAGGCTACTAATAAGCCAAAGCTGCAGAGGTGACCATGACTGTCTGTGATTTGCTACGCAAGGGCGAAGGGGCTACACTTACCACAGTGCCCAAGCCATTGCAGAAGTAATTTTGGGTCAATATTCCTGTGTAAAAAAGTGAGCTTGTGATATTACAAAAAAATTATTACTCTTAAACTATACTTTTCTGCAAGGGGGACTTCCCGTGAACCCACACACGTACGCAAGTACCGGATGTCTATATTTTTTTAAAATATTTCATGTGGCAAAATAATTGTTCCATAGCCCTCTTACTGAAATGTGAATTCAGCACCTACATTTAAGGATATTGAGCTTGTGCCCAGCAGTGGGACGTGTATTGGCTGTAACTTTACTTATATATTTATGTTTATCATTTAAGGTAAATGGGTCAAGATAATTTAATGATAATATTATTTCATCACAAGTTTCATGATAGCTTACATCAGTATTTTGATTATTTTTTAGCGGGTGGGCAAAGTAAACATAAATACCAAAAATAATATGTAAACAAACTAAAACAAACTTACAACACAACACAACTTTGTTGTGCTGCTTGGCAGCCTTCAAAATCAAAATAGCGTCGCTTATACAAACGCTCAAATTAATAAACTACTAAAGTTACTTTTATGTTTACGTAGTCTTAGGAAACTCAAGTAATACGTTACCTATACTATAAAAATAAATATTACAATTTTGAATTTTATTTACAGGTACCTTTTTGTATTCACGTCTGTAAGTTGCTCTCATATTCTCCAATTTCTTTTTAACGAGTTCAATCGTCGCATCTTGGCGTAAAACTTTGTATTTTTCTAATATGATACTATACGCTTGATCTCTAGCTTTTTTGTCATTGTATTGCACTTGTGTGGGATCCCAAAGAACAGGCAAATCCTTATAAAGTTGTATCATATCAATTAGTATACTTTTCTCTGATTGTATTACTTTCATATTCATAGACGTGTCTTCTTTATTATACATTGGGCGCAAGGATTACACATTATAGCTATACACTAAACAGCTAGATGCACTCACTACTAGCGAGATTGGACGGAAACTGACAGTGACAGCCAGCTGACAGCTGACATTAGTGACTATATTCTCTTTGGCTGACATTTCGTTTTATACAAAGGTACTCTGTGACACTGACTTGCGGTTTATACAAAGGTACTCTGTGACACCGACATTGATTTCTGTGGCTGGAACTGGAGTTTTGGCGGGAACTTGACCGACGACGGATTGCTGCTCCTGTATTATTGTTTGAATAATGGTTTGTAGTGGATTTTGATATGTAAAAGTGGTGCGATTTTGTGTATTAAATGTCTGCGCATGTGAAAGGCAAGTGCTCTGATGGTGATGTGATTCTCAAGATAAGGTGTCTGTCTGCTTAGGTGCCTTGAGATATCATCGCCAACTGTCAGCTGTCTGCTGGCTCAAATTGTCGTCAAAATCTCCCATGGGCTGCACAATGTGACGCATTACTACCATAGTATCAGTATAGAGAAAACGCAGACAGCGTTCTTGGCACGATACCACAGGGAGCAGGACTGTATGATAATAATTAAGTTATTAGTTTTAGTTTTTTCTTTAAATTATAGTTGTTTCATATTGTATATAATAAAATATTGTATATTATGTTATGTAAATATATAGAATTATCGATATTTTCTCACAAATCCTCACAATTATATTATATTGTCAATGTATCGATATTAGACATTTATTTTAGAGTGTCGAATTTGTATCAATTTCGATATATTTTGAAATTTTTACTTTCATAGACAAACAAAAAGCATTAATTTCCTGTTGTTTTTTTCGTCATCACAACGCCCCGTAATAAATTGGCCCTCATCCTACTAAATCATGCAAAACATGACGATATATCGTTATATCAATATTTATTGACACAGTTCGAAGCTGTTTAAAATATCGATATGATAAATATAAAAAAAATCCCTAGATAGTTTTCAGATTATTCAATGTATTCTGTGCTCACAACAACCTCTCTATAATAGTTTCATAGTTCCAATTTTTTTTAACTGGCTTTACGGCTCTGGGTTCTAGCTCTTCTGAGGTCGGGGTCAAGACATAGAGTATAGAAGTTGTGGCAGCGCTGTCGTCGCGCCACAAGCGAAACACATCGAAGCCTAAATCGCGCTAACAAAGTTCCGAAGTTAAAGCAGTATATATAGAATAGCTCCAAACTACCACTCGGAGCGTTGGCCGCTCCCCGGGCAGAACACTTTGCCCGGCGGGAGATCTCCCCTTTTCCATCCCATGGCCACAGTGGTGACCCCAACGTGATCTGAACACGCAACCAATAACCTTTAGAAAATATAACTTCAAAACCTTCGTCATCGTCCTTCCACCCGCCACAGTGGTGACCCCGACGTGATATGAACACGCAACCAACAACCTTCAGAAAACTACAACTTCAAGCTTTCGACATCGTCCTCAAGTACCCCATTCATTCGCTTCCGAGCAGATATTGTCTGCATCCTTCCCATCCTGCAAGCTCTAGCTTTACAAACATTCATCGCAGCATTGGAATAATAATGCTTCCTGTTCCTTCAAGCTACTCTCTGCGCTACAGTGTTCGGCACGGCTCTGAGCCTTACTGCTCGCCTCTGCTTCACGGCACTCTCGCAGATTACTTGCCTTCTTCTCTACTCACCGCAGACTCAAGGCAATCCCTTACACTTGCTCCGGCTCATCGTTCTCACCGCCATCACTTGCAAGTGCGTAGTACGGCATGCATTACACACCGACATATCGTTTGCACCAGCGTCACTTGCCCTTACGCACACAGCATACATTCCCCACCGGCATTAAGGACACACCGGCAATCGGATTGCACTATCGACCTCCGGTCTGAGCAGAGGGGTGATGTGACAGCGCTGTCATCGCGCCACAAGCGAAACACATCGAAGCCTAAATCGCGCTAACAAAGTGCCGAAGTTAATACAGTATATATAGAATAGCTCCGAACTACCACTCGGAGCGTTGGCCGCTACCCGAGCAGAACACCTTGCCCGGCGGGAGATCTCCCCTTTTCCTTACACCGCCTCATTGGTGACCTCGACGTGATCTGAACACGCAACCAATAACCTTCGGAAAATATAACTTCAAAACCTTCGTCATCGTCCTTCCACCCGCCACAAAGTATAAAAGCTTTCTCTTTTGAAGCTATTATGCAGAAATAATTTTATTCTTTTTGGTTATTTAAAGTTTGCTTATATAATTAAAAGTTTGTTTCTTGACCCTTTTGTGAACTACGAAATTTAAAAAGCTCGAATGTCGTTAAATAAGTAGTTGCATAAAAAATTTCATTTATTATTTTCATCATTATGATAAGGAATATTTTTTATAAATTTTATGGGACCACCCATGAAATATATAACCTATTTAAAAAAAATTGGTAAAATACGTAAAAAAATGCAGTCGAATTGAGATTCCTCTCCTTTTTAAAATTTTCTAATAGAACTGTGTTACATATTAGTTTTATTTTATAGAATAAGGATGATAAACGAGCTTACAGTCCACCTGATGATAAGTGGATGCTGTGGCCTATACATATCTACACCTATCCTCGTATTTGATTAACAATCAAAATGCCGATGCGTTGTCACCCCTGAGGACTAAGATGGAATGCCGCGTTTCCAGCTACAGAGCAGCATTGAGCTGCTATTTTATGTTGGTATTCTGTAAGAGTATGGTCCTTCCCTGGTTGAACCGACCTATACATGCTACAACTAACTTTGACGGCTCCGTGGCGCAGTGGCTTAGCAATGAATTGCTACGCTGGGGGTAGCGGGGTTGAATCCCGCACGGAACAGGTATTTGTGTGTACAAATAATTGTTCCGGGTCTGGATGTTTGTCCTTATACAACTTGTGTTTGTAAACTGCCTCCACGATACAGAAGAAAATTCTAGTGTGGGGGTAACGTTTTTAAAAAAACAAAAAAAACTATCATATAGCTGCAATATGGCTCTACCACCCAGAATAGGTATAATTCGTGTGTAAAATTATTTTGACCATCAAGAATAAACACGCAAAATAAGGCATTCTCTCGCGTAATCTAACTTTAGTAAGTATAAATTTAAAGTTTTTACTTTTTAACGAGACTAAACGTGCGTTAAAAATTATCAAAACATTTCTTCTGGTGTTATACCTGACATTAGGGTATTTATATATATTTTAATTACATTCTGCCAACGGTGCTTATCGGAAGGTTTACAATTATTAGCAAAATAATCAAAAAATTGTAACTCACGGCTTGAATCCCTTTCTAAATCCAGTTATAAATGCTCTTGATGCGGAAGTGGAAGACTTTCAAACAGCTTTTGCCTTGGAATTGTAGACAGTGGCATTTTGTTGTCATCACTATTTGAGGTAAGAGACTGCTTGAACAAATTGCATTTATGAATTATCAGAAAGATGCTCTTTTCTACCGACTTCAAAAAGAATCCCATACTCAATTCGACTGTATGTTTTTTTTATATGTGTTACCTCATAACTTCTTACTCGGTGAACCGATTTCGATGATTCTTTTTTTATTTGAAAGCAGGTGTTTCCCATGTGGTCGCATATAAATTCAAAATCTATTGATCAAGGGCTGATCAATAGTTTTTCAGTTATTCTTAATAATTTATATTGAAGTCGGTTGTACAAAATTTTTAATTTTTAATTATTTAATTTATATAAAAAAAACGTTACTTCAACACTACGAATGTCTATTGTATTGTGGGGACTGTTGACATAATAATTAAATACATAAATTTCACAAGGACAAACAACCAGAGCCGTAACAATTATTTGTAGGCAATACAAATACTTGTTTCGTGTCGGAATTGAACCCGCAGTCCTTAGCGCTGCAACTCATTCCTAAGCACATACTAATATGACGCATTTCCTAAGCCACTGTGCAACAGAACCGTCAAATGCTACTGCTATGCTATTGCTCATCTCCTGTTTCACTTTTCCCCTGTCACCTCTTACAACACCCACGGAACGATATGAGGTGGTAGATATTATTATACTGCCATTACACACTGGTTGATAGTATATTGGACATTCTTGAAAAATTGTAGATCTACATCATTTTTCACTTTTTTAATCGATAAACCAGCACTAAAACAGGATTTATCGAAATATTTTGTAAAAAGCCATTGATATTTCTTCTTCTTTTTAATTTCTGGCCTTTGAATATTTATTGAGCTTAATGTATTCACATCTTATTTCTGGGCATTTTGAAAGCCTTAATCATAATAATAATTGTTACAATACAAAAACGGTAGCTAAAATATTATCGGAAATGCTAAATTAGTTGGTGTACATTACTAGCAAAGTTGGTTAAAACCATAGACTTATCCACCTAATCGTAGACAGAGAATCCTATTGCCATGGAAATATATGTACTTCGTACAAACTGGAACCCGCACTCTCGAATGACATAAAAAATACAAGAAAACGACCTTGAAATTTTTCATTACCCCTCAGTCTCTTTCTAATTAGGGTGAACACAAAATACAAGAATTTGGGATATTATGAGGAAAAAATCAGTTTATTATTATTATATTCACATATAAAATTTTATTTTAATAGAAAATAGTAGAGTTCCATTGAAACACATGATATTAGAAAAATCCATAAGGACGAAGCTGCGGGCGGAAGTTTATTAATTAATATTATTTATTCGTGTACTTTTTTGTCAATAAACGAATAAACGAGTGAATGGGTTCAATATAAAAAACTTTAACAATGAACTCGGACCATCATCCTGAACAAAATCTAAAATAATTTTTGTCCAAAAATGAAAAAAAAAATTCAAAATGTCACGTGACCAATTTTGTATGCGAAGTCAATTTTTTTTAATTTCCACAAAGAAATTGCTTCAGTACCTTGCTCAGGATGATGGTCATGATCAGTTCATGGTTAAAGTTTTCGGGGGGATGTCTTTACATCCCTTATAATGTAACATTAGGAAATAATAAAACTAAAATAATAATCGTTTTTATTTACATTTAATATTACAATAGAAATGGTGTCTACAAATTTAAAATATACAACAATAATAATTAGAGGTGAAGGTTTTTACAACAATCTTTCAGATGCGTTCTGAGACGCATGGTCAAAAAAGAGTTTGAAATTCACAGCAACCACTTACCATCAGGTGGACTGTGTGCTCGTTTGTCACCCTATCCTATATAAAAAAAAAATATTTTTAAATTCTGGATTAATGAAATTCAGAGCAATTAATACCGTCATCCATAGGCTGATGCAGTTCACCTGATGGTAAGTGATTGCTGCGGCGCATAGACATCTGCATCTATGCTCTATTACAAATCAAAATGCAGATGCGTTGTCACCCGTGAGAACTAAGATGGAATGCCTCATTTCCAGTAAAAAGGGTCTCCGGTTCTCTACACTCACCATACGAAATACTACAGCGTTAGGCTGCTATTTTACGCTGGTATTCTGTTGAAGGTGTGGTCCTTCCCCGGTCGAGCTGTTTCTATTCCCATTCGTGCTAGAACTATACTACTAATATAGCTGCAGTATGGCTCTACCACGTATAAAATACACTATATATATAAATGAAACATTGGTCGCAACTGTGGTGTGAAGTGTTGAATAATAATATTGATTAATACATTTTTAATATAAGGTTGACTCAGACTATTCATATTTGATGCCCTTTTAAATATTTTATCTGTAAAAAGGACAATTTTGTACACCTCTGCGGATGGAATAAGCAATTTACGTCTATTTACAAATGTTGTAGATATTGATATTTATTTACATTCACAACGTATAAATGATCGGTTTGTAAATGATCTGCAGCAATTAGCAAATTTTTACAATCGTTACATTTCAGCTGTTTGACAATAATTTTATTATATAACCAGTTATATAATAAAGAATAGTTTTCTGATAATCCGTATGGGTGTTTTGTGATTCCAAAGCCTGCAAGTGGTTTTCGATTTCATCATTAGTATCTGTATCATCAGTATTTGAGATCGGATTCAGATTGGAAAGCCCCACAATGCAATTAAAAAAGGCCGAAGACCGTCTTAAGATCTCAACGTTTGGTAAAGTTGCATATTGTATAATAAATTAGAACTACATTTAAAAACATTAAAACAAAAATTGTTTTTTTATATTTATATCTTTATTTATAGCGATAGCACTTATATACGTGTAACAAAATTGTCAAAAAATTGATTTCCTGAGACCGCAATTTTGATTAAATGTATAAATTTTAATTTAAAAAATTAAATACAATTAAATACTTAGCAAAATGTTGTACAAAAATAGCTTGTAATTATTTTTACAAAGTATAGGCTAGTGATATAACATATTTAGCTGTTCCTATTTTCTAGGTAACAGAATGCATTTTTCTTTCTTTCTCAGAAAAAAGATTTTTTAAATTACTTTTCTTCCCTGGAGACAAAACTTCGCTTTGAAATAAGAAATAACAAGTACCTAACAAAAGTTCATACCTGTAGCACAGAACAATCTCCTATTTCATTTAAAAACGGTGTGACTCTTTGACTCAGTTGTTTCCCAGTAATCATGTAATTGATTGATATGAAAAAGATTACAAATCTTTGCTTTTTCAAAAAAGGGTATTTTTAGCTCCACATTATTTAACCATTTATTACGTTCTGTTAGATTGGAAGGAAACCTGCATAAATTTAAGTAATAAAAGATATAAATTTATTTTAATTTTGATGTTTCAGTGTATCGTCTTTCGTGTAAACAACGTTTCGAAATTTCACGCAAATCGAGCAGAGATTCCATTCGAGAAAACCTTTTTCGTTTGTAATTAAAATGAAAATACATTACAATGTATGGTCACACTAGTCGAAATTATAATACAAACATAAAACATTAATTATTAAGCAAATAGCGAAGTAAAATTGGAAATACCGAACAAAAATTAACATCTAAACCAAAATAACCATATTTCTACATAGAAATAATAACAATTAAAGTCAAAATATCACTTAAAATCAGTTTGACATGACTCGCAGCATTTGTATAGTATTTTGTACTTAAGAATGAAATATAATATTACATTCTGGATGCCACTCACTTTTGCAACCGCGCACAATAAATTTAATGACCATTTTACTAGTTTTGCCTCTGCATTATTCCAAAATTCAAAAAACAAACTTGCGAAATGAACATAAACATCCGCCATGTACGGTAAAAATTATTTGACAAATAGATTTTGGGTTGTTATATAACGGCTTTTAAGAATAAATCTAAGATAGGGGAAATATGTAGGAAGTTAGGCAAATAGTTCATCGTAAATCTTTATTAAGTGTTTAAAAGAAACAGCAAACACTTAAGTGAAAATCGTTTTTGACAAGTTTCGTTATCATTTTTTACTTAAAATTCTTGCCATACTGAGAATTAAACTTGTACAGAAATTCTTGATGGCTGTCAATGGGGTAATATCAGTCGTCACGTTGGCTATCCTGTAGGGAAAACAGGGGTTACTCAAGGTCATTTGATTATTCCTAATGTTGATATTAAGAGTGTGGGTTCCAGTTTGTCTATACTTCCGTGCCTATTGCTATATATCATAGACTTAGAATATACTACGCCCAGTATATTGTAAGTCTATGTTTCTAACCCTACCTAGCAAAAGGATAAAGGATAATAGTTACATAGTTACTGAACTCCAATGTCATATCCAGGCTGTTGCAACTTCCATAGTAAAAATTATATGTACTACAGGGGTCAAATTTTAATGACGGTTACTCTTCTTTATGCTTTTCGTGATATGTCTATTAACGACATTGTCAAATGCAATAGATTCAAATGTCAAATCAAACAATTATATTTGTATATATATTATTAATTAAGATTGCTTTTAATTTTGCTATAGGAGCCGTTGTTCATTTACAGAATTATTAAGAAATGAAATATGCATTATAAAACTTTCCAATTAAATGGTGCAAGAAGCGGAAAAAATGATAACAAGAAAAGGCTATTCGTAGCAATATTTCCCTTAGATGATGAAAGGTATGTGATGATTTCAACTTTAATAGTAATATGATATTCAACGCGAGTATATTTTTGGATTAGCCATCTATGTAGGACATGTTTTTATAGTGTACGATTGTGTGCACAAATACAAACACACTATTTCCTAAATCTGATAGTTCGATGGTTTGGCAATCCGAAACGAACTATACTTAGAAACTACAAGTCAATTCTGACTGCTAACATTCTATTTGTTCAATAATAATGTGATTTTATTTATATTATTTTTTCAGATGCAAGCCATGGGTGAAATAGCTGGCACGTGCACCAATTGAAAAGATTCACATGTTAAGACATATTTGTGACAAACATTGCATATGAACCCAAATGAAACGAACTGTTATTTCTTTAGTGGACTTACTTTAAACTTCCACAATTTATGTGTATGTTAATTAGGTTTCATTTACATGTAGCAAAAGACAATATCCCTCTAAAGTCACATTTTGGCAAGAATTTGATTATATAACTAAATCATTATTTTATTCATCAACAAACGATCTCTGCGAATAGTATGTACATAGATGCCTCTGTGAAGAAGCCTAGCGATTTGTACATAGTATTTGTTACACATAAAAGCAATTTAATCCAATCAGTATTAAAAACCCAATATTTTTACCCTTAAAAAAACTAACGTTGAAAACAAGCATCCAGACGCAGACTATTTATTTTATAGCATAGCAACAATTGTTCAGTGCGGGAAGGAAGCCTCGGTCCTGCAATGTCGCAGCCAAACGCTTAGCCACTGCGCTACGGAGTCGTCATTTATTTTTTACTTAATTAATTACTAGTATAAAAGTGCGTTTTTTATTTTATATTTTCTTTATACATACTTTTGTACCTAATTGTAGAGATATAAATACAAATTGCTGTGTGTAAAATATATTGATTTCTTATCCTCATCGGCATTTTTAATCAATCCACACGTTAAAAATTTTATTTCTCATATATAATTCAGTATAGAGATCTAACTTTTCTTATGTAAAAATATCGATAAACAATATATCGATAAAGGTTATATCGATAAAATTATTCGAGGATAGACATTTACAGCACTATTGTACTTCGTCAATGTTGTCAGCACTGTATCTCAACTAAATGTCATATCTTGATGTTGGTAGAGTAACTTGGCGTAATTTCAAATTATATTTACTATGGAAGTCCCCCCTCTTAAACGTAGTGATTATATTCTCTTTGGTCATATCCATAATGAATAAGAAAATAATCACTTGATTTTGTCTCTGATGACGACCAATGATGACAGTTTTATATTTAAAAAAATATTTTAATATTTTATTTCTAAAGAGCTTTGATTAATAATTTCATAACTATGTTAAATGCTAATAGTAATATTTCCATTAAATTTAATCATGAAAAGTCATGTAGACGTCCACTATATAATATTGATTTTTTTATCAAAGAATATAGGCATCGTATTTTGAATGATGTAGCATCTGATGAAAAGAGTAGTGGGTGTTATACCAATATATGTTTTTCCACAAAGTTGCCTCAAATTTATAATGAAAAATGGGTTCAGGAAAACAAAAACATGTACCTGGCGAACACACCGAACGAATATTTAGTAGAACAATATTATTTAAGTCAAGCAGGCTTTATTTGCTGTATGATATACACTCCAGATGGCGAATTCATCATTGTTGGCCACTCAAGTGGAATGATCCAGGTGCTAATTTATATAAAAAATGTTAAAACATTTTATGTGTTATAATTCCGTTGTCATTCCGCGGCTGTTGTTTATGTCCACTATGAGAAAAGCCAGAATGCCTGTTTACTTTGTCGCGGCACAGACACTGTTGCATCCTAGACTTCTTATTAGTTTGTGAGCCTAGTCCATCTTCGGCCTTATCTGAATACATCGGGACGGGTGCGTATTCATTTGAAGCATTATATTTATATTAAGTATTTTATATAAAAGCGCGTATAGCTAGTATTAGTATTAGTATATAATAAGCTGCGCCGACACCACGGGAATGGTAGCTCGTGGGATAGGTCTACCACTTTGCAATTTCCTAGGGGTTTTCTTCCTCGATCAACATAATTGTGAAACCTTTACCACCCGTGAATATTGCAGACTGTTACGACTTAGGGACTTTCCAGAAACGACCCTATTGCTTATTAAAAAGCCGGCAACTCACCTGCCATTCCCATGATGTTGCAGTTGTTCATGCGCCGGTCGACACCATCAGATGGGCCAAAGCGTAAACCCATCCAGCACCAAACAAGTTGTTAATTGCATGTCATGTAAGATGGAATAAAACTAATTTTACGGATTTTATCGCGTTTAATTTAAATATTTTTAATTCTAGACGTTTCGGGCACTTTACAGTAACTTTTAATTATTAATTTCTGATCCGATCTACGTAGAATGAGCTTACAAAATCTTGAAATCTTACAATAATATGTTTGGGTTTGGATTTAATTTTATTAATTATGGGATCGTCCAGCTTAGTTGTGAATAATGGTTTCATCATACAAGATTGATTGTGAATGTGCTCTTTTTTACATAGAACAATCCAAACCCAAGTATACTACTGCAAGATTTCAAGATATTGTAAGCTCGTTCTGCGTAGATCGGACCAAAAATTAATAATTAAAAGTTGCCCATTAAATAAAATTAGCCTTCGTTAACTATGACATCAGGACGTCAAACATCTCAGTCCCCCCGGGACTAATAGTTAAAATTAAACGCGATAAAATCCGTAAAATTAGTTTTATTCCATGTATTATATATATATATAATATTCCTATTATTCGCCTAAATATAAGAAATCATGCATGTCTAAGAATTTAAATGCTCCCATACAAATTGTTTAAACGCGTCATCTCGAGTAAAGCTACGATTATTTGTTATGGGGTCCTTTGTTGTTTCTTAGCTGCTGTGAACGTTGCAAGCCAGTATTAATAAGGTACCTCTGTGGTGCATGTATGATGTCTGTGGTGTGGTCTCACGCTTGGCTTTGATGTACGTACCTATGTGTACTGTGCCTTAGACAGTGTTGTTCTGAGGCCGTTTGCTTTCGTTGGTCTGGTATTTAGATAAACATGTCAGTAGTATTTCCCATAGTCGGCTCTTATGACATTCTAGACGTTAGATGTTATATAGTAATGGATTTTATTACAATGCATCTTCACGACAGTCTCCCACAAATTTAATTTTCTAGGCCAATAGTATAATTTTCCAAGATCTTATTAAAAATTTCAGGTGTAGAAATAAACATCGCACATCGCAACAAAACTCGCGTTACCATCCATAGCATCTGGATGATTGGCGGTCCACCACTGTGCGATTTAGAAGAAGTTTTCTCCCTCGCACAACTTCTTTGTGGAATCAATTACCATCAGCGAATTTTCCGAACCGATACGACTTAGGAACCTTCAAGAAAATAGCTTACACCTTTCTAAAAGGCCGGCAACGCATCTGCAATTCCCCTGGTGTTGCGGTTGTTCATGGGCGGCGGTAGTCACTTACCATCAGGTGATCCGCAAGCTCGTTTGCCCCCTATTCTATAAAAAAAAAAACAAATAGAAGTTATGATTTTAAATAATCTAGTAAATAGTAGTATGCGTAATTTAGTAGTACATTAAATAGTCGACTGATAATCAACATTCACTATACTTATTGATGTGGTCCGCTTATAGATATAACAAAGTTGTGTTAGAATTATGTTTCAACTTAATTGTCCTGTTTATATCTACGTCCAGTCGCAAAAGTCGTAATAAAAATGAAATAAAATTGCTAGACCTAAACAATCAGCGAACTGGAGAGGATACATACTATGCAAATTACTCTACTTCTACTCTAGGTCCACAGAGTAAGATGTAGTGTCGCGCAGTGCCGGATTAACCACGTAGCAAGAGTAGCAATTGCTACGGGCTCCGCGCAAAAGGGAGCCCCGCGCAGAAAAAAAAATTCAACGGAGTGGCTCAAATCGTCTACGATCAAGTTATTTCCGATCGGCTTGACCCACTGACCTTGCGAAGAGACGTTGCATCTCTATGCATCTTCTACCGCATATACCACGGGGATTGCTCAGAGGAATTATTCGGATTAATTCCAGCTGCTGAATTCCACCATCATTCACTGCGACAGAACTCGAAATTCCATCCTCATTATCTCGATGGCTGGCGGTCCACTACTGTGCGATTTACGCCGAAGTTTTTGCTTCGCACGACCAAACCGTGGAATTTACTGTCGCCAGCGGTTTGTTCCGAACCGATACGACAAACTTATATCCATAAAGGAAAAGAACATGTACGTTATATCTACCTAAAACAACATGCGAGAAGGTTATCAAATTTATAACATCAAGAAAGCAATGCATCGAATGCATGAAATACACATTCTGTGAAAATTTAAACTGTCTACCTATTACGGATCATGAGATACAGCCCACTGACAGACAGACGAACGGACAGCGGAGGGTTAGTAATAGGGTCCCGTTGGTTACCCTTTGTGTACGGAACTCTAAAAAGATTTACAATTAACTGTGTGGTATCGTCACATTTAAATTGCCAGACAAATCTCATTTCTGACATTTTGTATTTGTCACAGTCTAACAGGCCCTGTAGTAATCTACTGTACTATGAAACACCAACAAAATTGTAACCTAGAGATGGCAAATAAACGCATTGATTATTGAATTGTTTTTTACCACTTTGTATTAAAGAATAGCAGCATAACAGAACAAGGGCCCCTCGATAGAATTTGCTACGGGCCCCGCGCTTGTTTAATCCGGCACTGGTGTCGTCCCAGGTAGCGCTGGAATGTTGCACCCATTACTATACTCTTCAGTAGCACCTATACCAAATACCGAGCACTGTGAGATGCTCAAACTCCATCATGGCCGTTTAATCGGTATTTTTCTAGTCGATTAGTCAGCTGATCCGCAAAGGCCATAATCCGCCCATTTGTATTTTTTAAATTAGAAGGTTAGAGTGGTCACTCACGTTGTAGAGACTAGTCACGCTTAGCGTCGAATTTTCGAACCCAGCACCAGACATCTCGCACTTTTAACGTAGCTGCCATGCTGTATGGTTATTTTACATCTGATATATCTATTATGCCCTATAGTCACCTCTTACGATACTTACAGGAGGCCGAAACTACATCTTTGTTTCCTTTTTCCCCCACTTTTTCCATATAAGAATATTTATCACATATATTTGTTGCTTATTGCAATAAAATCGTTTATGTAAGTTTTACCTAAACAATGTGCCTGATTTTTATTTAATTACTTATATTGTATAGTACCTAGGTAATGCCTTAAATTTCATAGTAAGTGGACAATCTGAGTTCAACGCCCGCCGGCACTAAAACTATAATTTAAATGCTGAACTGCCCTTAAAAATCGTGAAGAAACTTGCATGTTTGAAAATTAAAATATTTCTAGGACATGTGAAATCAGCTAACATGCTAAGAAAGAAAAAAGGAGCATCTACTTCTTAATCCTATCTAAATTAAAGAGGCTTTTGACTAAATTGCTGCTAGCTAGCTTAGGTAGGTAGCTTAGGTAATGTCGGGGTCGGGGCAGTTATATGTAGTTTCTGTACTATTTTGTGATGATTAAGCTTAAGCGATTTCAAAGTATATTAACAGATGGCGCTGAAAAAAAATAGGTACATTTCTTTCTTTGTTACCTCTAGTAATACAAGTTTGACAAACTTGAGTTTTCACGTTAAAAAGTATATTATGAGGTACATGAGTCTCTCCAAATATAAGGAGAATTAGCGGAAATCGCCACGTATTAAATGCTTCATACATTTGACGTTGCTTCGCGTCGTCGGTCTGGGTTATCAATATCATTATTGTTAAATAATGTAATAATTTAAATTTAAAAACCCCCGAAAAAAAGAGCTGATGATCTTCAATCAGATGATCAGATTTTCTTGAAACATAACTAAGAACACTCTCGATTAAGACACCTTTCAAACGAAAAAAATTTAATGAAAATCGGTTCATCCGTTCAGGAGCTATGATGCCACAGACAGACGCACAGATATACACCATAAACTTATAACAACCCTCTGTTTATGTCGGGGGTTAAAAACTCATTGAAAAGTTGAGTAAGTATTTGAAAGAATTATTACGTGGGTAATTTCTCCTTATATTATACAAGGGCGACAAGCGAGCTCACGGTCCACTTGATAGTAAGTGGATGCTGTGACACTAATAGACCTACATCTCGCTCGATTATCCAGAAGCGATGTTACCCCTGAGGTCTTAGTCGAAATGTAACGTTATCAGAAAAAATAATCTCAGGTTAACGTCATTCACCAAACTAAACACAGCAGCATTACTTTCAGTAATTAAATTGTTGTACTACTCGTAATATTGGATTCAGCTTGAATCCGAACTAGTTACACACGATTCAATTGGCAATGGACAGCTACACAGTACACACATAGTTATGTAGTAGCAATTTATTTATTTTATTGCTCAATAACAATTTTGCGCTGTAATGACATAAATCTAGTAGGTTACTGTTAAACATGAATGAGCAAAAGGAGATTCTTGCGGAATATATTAAAAACATCACCTTCTATTACGAAAATGACCAAAACCCACACATCTGGTATCCAATGTTCTATCAAGGAGTGTTTAAAGAAAAAGACTCTAATGGGTGGGTTAAGGAAAATTATGTAAATTTTTTGAAGGACACTCCAAACAATATTTTGTATAACAGATGGTTTTTCTCTGAATATGGCTCTATAACCGCTTTAGCCTATTCACCGAATGGAAATTATATTGTTGTCGGTCATTCATCCGGGCTGATTCAGGTTTGTTTGTAGTAGTTATAATTTTGATTATTTTAGTACATTCTTGGGATAGTACATATCCTTGTAGTCTGGCGGTACCAAAGGAGTCGGGTACGGGTATCGTTGTAAGTGAACAAAACGTGTAACGCGATTCAAACTCCACGCTGCGCTGGTTGGTGTTATCCTACGAAAGTTTGTGAGGATGTATAGATGTTTTTTTTACTCTTATGCGCAAAAAATACTGAATGTATTTTAATGAAACTTTACAATTATATAGCTCATACATCAGAACAACACACACGCTATAATTAATAAAGATATTGTGTAAATTGATCAAAATATAACGATAAGTGTTAAGTAAGGCGGAAAAAATCTGTCATCTGCGAGTTATTTTGGCGTGTGGTGCAAAAACTGTAAAGTAGGTATAATTGGTATAAAGTATATCTACGCAAACGAAGTTGTAGGCAAAAGCTAGTTATTTATAAAACTGAAGTGACAAACGAACTTACAGTTCACCTGATGACGAGTTACTACTGCAGGCCAGGTGTCTAACCTGCAGTAAACTTTAAACAAAGAAAGCTACAGGTGTGTTGTCGCCTCTGAGGACTAATATGGAATGCTTTACAGTCTGTAATTATTTAAATAAAACAATTTTACGGATTTTATCGCGTATATTAACTTATTTTATATACTTTTATATACCGTCACAGGGGGGGGGGGGATGACCGAAGGTGTATGATGTCCCAATGTCATAGTTAACCACGGCTATCTCCAGATTAAAAATTATTAATTTTTGTTCCGATCTACGCACTCCGATCTACGCACGCTACGCGCAATTTTATTAATTATGGTGTCCCAATCATTCCTGTAATTATATAAGCTCGCTCCAACTTTCCAGACAGTAGTGCAAGCACTGATATTTAGCGGCAGAAATACGTAAGAGTATTTTTCCTACCCAGACACATACTATACTAGAATTTTAACACCTATTTACTATTTGGTATGTAATCTCAATTTCACCACCAGTCGCCCTAGCGTGACACAAACAGCAAACTTGTTCGTTTAGGAAAACTATTGTGCCACGCCTTTGGAAAATGACGAGTACTCTTTTTTTATAGCGTACTTTAGTTCATTAACAAAACCTTTAAGGTCGTTTTAAATTATATTTCTCTAGATGCGACATGGCAGTACCGGAACAGTCCTTTGTACGCTGCGCAATATCCAGTACCCACCGAAGCCAATATATGCCCTTGAATACAGTTTACAAGAAGAGAGAGTCTGTTACGCGGCGTGTATGGATGGTGCTGTGTACCGAATTGAAATACCAAATGTAAGTGTCGATCATATGTCCTGATAGGTAAAAGTTAAAACATTACGTACCTCTGCATTTTTTATGTAAGTTTTTTCATTATTGGACAGATTAAAACTTTGTTAACTGTCTGCTACCTTTAGGCTGCGTCCTCGCACATCTCTGGTTCCACCATGCGTTGCGAGGGATATGTTTGTTGAGAACCAATAGTATCACTCTGGTGGAAAAGGCTCAGCGGAGCGAGGTTTTGTATATACAAAAAATGTGTGCGAGGGATTTGTTGCGAGAAATGTGTGCGAGGGATTTGTTGCGAGGGTGTGTGCTAGAGAAGGATGCAAGAAGCAGCACCACACCCGCTCGCATCTGAAACGAACTCGCTACACATTCTCGCACCGCTCATCTGCGCACCGTTTCACAGCGTCGCTAGGCATCCTCACATCGCTCAACGGCCTAGCACATCTCTGGTGGAAACACTCACACCGTTTCACAGCCTCGCTACGCATCCTCGCACCGCCCAGCAACCTCGCAAATCTCTGGTGGAAACGCAACCTTATAAATCATTAATGTCCACTGCTAAACATAGGCCTCCCTTATAGATTGCCTCATAGGTGGGATATTTGCCATAGTTGCCACGCTTGGCAAGCGGGTTGGCAACCGCAGTTTAAATCTTTTGTCGTTATTAGGTAGACGCTGTTGCCCATATCCTGATTTGCTCCCCTCTGTCGCCTCTTACGTCCCACATGGGATGATATGTATGGAGTAGTGGATATTCGTACACCGGTTTGTGTCTGTTATTGTAGAGAAATAATAGTGTTGAGCGCCACCATTAATGCCTGGTACATGGCAACACTAGTTACCTCTAGCGCCCTCTAGTATCGAGTAGCAGTACTAGGAGAGTCAAGATCCTTCTAGAATTTTCCATGGAAGAACTTTCTAGAACTTTCGACACCTAGTCAGTCAGGACCGGTATGTACTCGAACATTCTAGATGTTTCTACAGTAGAAGGTTTTGGAAATTATCTAAGGCCGGTATAGACCCCGACCACCGGGTCAGTCAGTCAGTACAGTGTTGAGTAGGCGATACAAGCGAATACTTCGAAGCGATACAACTGCGAACTAAAGTGATCAGTAGTACAATTGTGTTTTGTTATTAGTGTGGTTTTAAGTTTTAATTAGTAATCCAATTTTGGTAATTAACTAAGCAGTTTTTAATTGTCTCAAACCCCAAGCTCGTAACAATTGGTGGCAGAAGTGGGATCAGATCATGCCGATTTTACCTAAGGACGACACGGAGGGTATACATACCCGAAGTCAACGCCAGCAAGAGACGGACCAGAGACGATTTGGTGGTGCAACGCCGCAGACGTCGGAGGGCCAGCTGACGACCACGGAGGCCAGCTCGTCAGCAGCTCCTGCATGTGGAGCACCTGACTTAGGTGCTCTGATGATGATGCTGCCAGAGCATGCCCGCCGGTTGGAAGAGCAGCTGCAGCGCGGTCAGGAAGAGCAGATGCTCCTCAGGAACCTACACGATACCTTCGGGAAAGAGATAAGAGAGGTGAAGGATAGGGTTGCTCAACATGACAATCGCCAGTCGGAAGCTGAAACCTGAATCGACCAAGTGAACAATCGGGTTGACAACGTGATGGCTGACGTGAAGAAAACGCTGGACGACCTCAAACTTGGGGATGGAATTACAGATCCCGTGGTAGCTACAACTCCTTCGATACGTGGAATCATAGTGCCGCCGTTCGACGGGCCTTCCTGATCAGCCTACAAAATCCTGTTCGAGGCTGTCATGAAGGGGAACGGCTGGAATAAAAGTCAGGCCATGACTGCTCTCACCCTAAGCCTGCGTGACCAGGCCTTAACTGGTCTGGAAACTCTCAGTAAGGAACTGACTTACAAGCAGCTCCTTGAGCCATTAGAGGCGAGATATGACGACGCTCACCTGGAACACGTCATTCGTGCCCAGTTCAAAGATCGCATGCAACGTAGCAACGAAAACCTGCAGCAGTGGGCCCTTGAGGTGGAGAAGCTGGTTCGAAAAGCATACCAGTCTGTACCTTCGCTCATTGAAGGGAACCTGGTGCAGACATTCGTCGACGGCATCCGCGACCTTAAAGTCAGAGCTGCTGTGAGGCTTCTACACCATGAGACGCTTATGGACGCCTTGGCTCATGCACTGGAGGTGGAAGCCGTGCGGCAGGATCATCGTTCCCATCGCGTCAGGAAGATTGCAGCAGCTACAGTTCGCGACCGCAATAAAGAATACAGCATTAGGTGCTACGGCTGTAGGGATTTTCGATCCAGCCGCCCTAAGCGAACTGTAGAAAGGAGAGGTGATCGATCTCGAGAGGGTAGTGCGGCTAACAGCACAACCCAGCAGCAGCAGGGAAACGAGTAAAAGCTAGGACTGTGGGGCGGGTGCTGGCTGATGTTAAAAGAGCCCCAAGTATTTCGATCTCACAAACCCACGATGGGAACAGCCTATTCATCAAGGGCGAGGTCAACGGAACGTCGTGTACACTGACCATAGACACTGGAGCCTCTCGCACGGTTGTCAGTTCCTAACTTATAAGTCAGTTCCTTGGGGACTTCGCATACAACTGGGAACGCATTAATTTGGTGACAGCCACCGGTCAGCGCATACCCGTCCGTGGAGAGAAGAAGATGGAGTTGAAGTTAGGCAACATGATCTACCTGCATAATGTCATCGTGGCTCATTTAATGGACGACTGCATCCTTTGCCTAGACTTTATGAGGAAGAATTGTTGTGTTAAGCAAGGTGTTTTGAAATGTGAACCAGAGGTACTTTTCATGGAAGAGGCGGTACCAGGGAATATGTACAGCCTTAAGAAATTTGTTCTTCGCCGAGATCGGAAACGATTGTGCCGGTTAGTCTTCGTCGGAATTCTGGGCAAGCTCATCTTTGTGTACTCGTGGAAAGGGTGGGCAATGACCTTCCATGGAAAGTGGCTCCAACCTTGGTCAGAACTACCGACATCTCAGGAGTACGTGTGCTCAAACTTTGTGACCAGGAACAGATTATAGAAAAAGGCACACTGGTTGGTACTAGTGAGGAAATGGATTGGTTGCGTCGGTGCCAGTATCTATCGACTGAGACCCCCAGTGAGGATGCACAAACGAGAGTGACCACACTCTCTCTGAATGAAATGTTCAAGGCGAAGAAGTTGTTACCCAAGTACGCCGATGTTTTCTCGTCAAACGATGCTTTACGTGGTAGAGCCATGCTGCAGCTACATTAGTAGTATAGTTGTAGCACGAATGGGTTGGCTCGACCGGGGAAAGACCACGCTTTCACAGAATACCAGCGTAAAATAGCAGCTTAACACTGCTGTGTTTCGTATGGTGAGTGTAGAGAATTGAAGACCCTTTTTACTCGAAAAGAGGCATTCCATCTTAGTCCTCACGGGTGACAACGCATCTGCATTTTAATTCGCAAACGAGGATAAATGTAGATGTCTATGGGCAACAGCAACCACTTACCATCAGGTGGACTGTATGCTCGTTTGTCAACCTATCCTATAAAAAAAAAACATAGGAAAGATTGGCTTAGTTCAACACAAAATAAACACAGGAGAAGAATTGCCTATCCATCAGCGGCCAAGAAGATTACCGGTAGCACGTGAAAAAGAAATGGAAACTATTACTGAGAGAATGGTGAAGGAATGTGTTATTGACCTTCATCTGGTTTCATCTAGTCCACGGTGTTCATCAGTGGTGCTGGTAAAAAAGAAAGACGGCATTAAGCGGGTTTGTGTTGACTACCGCCGTCTGAATGATGTTACGAAGAAGGACAGCTATCCCTTGCCAAGAATTGATGACACGCTGGACATGCTTATAGGAGTAAAGTGGTTTAACACGCTGGACCTGAAAAGTGGCTACTGGTAAGTGGAAATTGATCCTAAGGACAAGGAGAAAACTGCATTCTCGACAAGAAAGGGTCTGTGGCAATTTAAAGTTATGCCGTTTGAATTGTGCAATGCTCCAGCAACGTTTCAAAGTTGATGGAAATGTACTTACCGGGCTAGTTGGCGACGCCTGTTTGATCTACTTAGATGACATCATCATCGTAGGCCGTACGTTTGAGGAACACCTTCAAAACTTGGAACGCGTGCTCATGAAGATCCAGAGTGCCAACCTTAAGTTGAGTTTGAAGAAATTTTCACTATTCAAATGGCTAGTTAGCTTTTTGGGGTATGTAGTGTTGGAAGATCCAGAGAAAATCACCGCTGTCAAGGATTGGCCGGTTCCAAAAGACAAGATGCAGGTTAGAGCATTTTTGGTTTTGAGCTCCTATTATCAGCGATTTGTGAAGATTTGTGAAGCGTTTTCTATGATTTCTGCTGGGATGAAAGTTGCGAGATTGCATTTCAGGAGCTCAAATACCGTCTGTGCAAAACACCTATTTTGGGATTCTCTGATGCGGGCAAAGAATTTATAGTTGACACAGACGCAAGTGATGTAGGACTTGGCGGTGTGATGTCTCAACGGAATGGCGATGAAGAGATTGTGATAGCTGGAAAGGAACTATTATGTCACAAGATGGGAATTGCTTGCTGTGTTAAAGTCGTTGCAGCATTTTAGCAAATTCTTTCTGGGCCAGAAATTTCACTTAAGAACTGACCATGCTGCACTGAAATGGCTATTGCAGTTCAAAAATCCAGAAGGACAAGTTGCGAGAGGGATTGAACTACTGCAGGAATACGACTTTGTGATCGAACATCGCAGCGGGACATCTCATGGCAACGCAGATGCATTGTCAAGAAGGCCATGTCCTGAAGATTGCAAGCATTGTACTAGGAAAGAGGGTAAGGAAGTGGTATCTGTGAGGATGGTCAGGACAGACCAGCTCAGCAATGAGTGGAAGGACAACTTACAACATGCACAGCAGAAAGATTCGAACATCAAGCTGATTCTGGAATGAATGAAGGCCAGTGCTCTTAAGCCCAAGTGGAGCGATGTCTCAGCGATGAGTTCGACCACGAAAAGCTATTA